AGCTCCTCCAGCGTGCGGGGTGCAGGGGGCGCCGCGCCCGCCTCGCCCTCGCCCGCCGCGCCGCCCCCCGCGCGCTCCAGGAACTGCGCCAGCTGAGCGAACGTGTGCTGCGAGCTGCGCGCCGCACGCACTCGGAGTCAAGGAACGTTACATCGAATCGAAACGAGACTCGCTTCTAAGTTACAAGCGACCGGCGTAATAGGGAAGAGTGTGCGGAGTGCGACATGCGCAAAGGATACATGTGGAGGTGGTCGAGCGTGGAGTCGTCGGCGTGGAAGGCGGTGCGCGCGATGTGCGCGTAGCGCTGCGCCGCCGCGCCCGCCTGCCGCGCCGCCCGCCGCAGCGCCCCCGCCGCCGCGCCCGCGCGCCCGCTCGCCTCGCGCGCCGCCTGCGCCACCGCGGGCGGCGGCTGCGTGCACAGCGCGCGCGCGGCGGCGGCGGCGGCACCCAGCGCGGCCAGGGCGGCGGCGCGCGCGCTCATCCACGCGGCGGCGAGCGGCGTGCACGCGCTGCACCCCGCGCACCCCGCCGCGCACGCCGCGCCCGCGCCCCCGCCCGCGCCGCCCGCGTCCCCGCACGCCTCCCACAGCCCGCTGCACGCCTCCAGCCCGGAGATGCCTGCGGTGCGAGGATCGAGTTCGGAGGAGTGGCATGTGACGTGCCGCAAGGGTCGCGCGTCCCGAGCGTACCTTCCCGAAGCAGGCGCGCGTCGGCGTCGGCGGCGCGGTGCAGCGCGCTCAGCCAGCGCTGCGCCGCCTCGCTGGCCGCCTCGCCGCTCAGCCGGCGCAGCAGCTCCGCGGCCACCGCCTGGTGCCCGTACCTGAGCGCGGCGCGGGCGAGGCGGTAGCGCGTCCAGCCGTCGCGGGGGTGGGCGGCGTGCAGCACGCGGCGCTCCCAGCCGGTGCTGAGGCGCGCGCGCAGTCGTGCGGCGGCGCGCTCCTGGAACATCACCGTGCACACGAGCACCAGCATCGTGCCGTCGTCTTCGTCCTCGTCCTCCTCGCACCTCGCAGCGCTGACGACAAATATATAATTAACGTTTCGGAAGAAAGAAGCGCCGCGTTCAGAGAGGGCGCGCGTACCTCTCCCTGTTGAAGGCGCGCAGCAGTGCTGGCAGCGCGGGCGCCAGGTGGTGGGTGCAGCGCGCCGCCCCGCCTAGCGCCGCCAGCGCCTCCACCAGCGCCAGCGCGCGCCCGCGACCCTCGCCGCCCGCACCCGGCGCGTCCAGCTGGCCGGCCAGCGTGGCGGCGGTGCGCTCCGCGTACAGGCTCGGCTCCGCGATGCTCAGCTGCACCTGTGCAAGTTTACACGGAGAATATAACAGCAGACACGATGGTAAATTATTAACAATGAGCCGGAACGAGCGACTGAAGAAAAACTTACAAGGCAACGCAAGGCGATCCTCAAGGGTTTGATGTGTCCGGGCTGCTGTCCGGTGGCGATGACCAGCGACTCCAGCGCCAGCATCAGGTCGGACCCCTCCACCGGCAGACTCTCCTCGTAGCTGTAATACGAGTGGTTGCAGTGAGGGTGAAGGCGGG